CCCCCCCCTTTTTTTTTTTCCCTCCTTTCTTCTTTTTTTTTTCTCTCTCTTTTTTTTTTTTCTTTTTGTAAACAGAGATGCAATGCAGAGTTCTACTAAGTGCTTTTTAAGTTTGTGAGGTTTTTTCTTTTTTTTCATGGGGGCTGGAGTGTTTCTTGCACACTAGAATTTGAGGCAATTTATAATCACTATGGGCTAAGACTATTTCTTGAATTTAATACTCATGGTAGTTTTAAAATACTTTTTAGCAGGAGTTTCTGGACACATACTACATGCCATGTTGTTTACTGACCCATAATCAAAATGCAGTGACCTTCTACCCTTTTTTTGCCCCTTGACCCATGCTGAATTCAATGCAGCCTTTATAAATTTGCAAATCCTTGGACGTAAAGGGGATTTGGTGAGGCTTTGTTCTGAAAGGATCCTAAAAGTTTGCATTTTTAATTAGACAAAGGTAAAGCAACAAACATTGGGAAACAAGATCCTGCACATAGGTGATCACTCTTCATTTCTGTGGTGGGAAATTACATATTAAAAAACGTACCCTGCAAACTGAAAAGCAGTTGCAAACGAAGAAGATCAGGAGGTTATGAATTGCACCAAATTAGCAATGTGGTACAAATCACTTTCATGACGTAAGGAATAGCCAAGCCACAATCTTCCGGCGCTCCTCATCTCCAAGGACCGTGCGGCTCCTGGTGACCCGGGGAGAGGGGCGAGCCAGCGATTTGATCTGGAGCTACAGGCGCATTCCCTTATCTCCTTTGCTATCAGTCAGTTTAAAGGACACCGTAATTATGATGGTGATAAAACAATGCCCGCTTATGTGTGCTGAATAAATAAAGAATGTTTACAGCCCCAGAATGTTTCAATTCCAATTAAACGCTATCAAAGAAAAGCCCCTTTTGCTCCCTCCCTCCTCCCTCCCTCTCCCCCACGACTCCCTATTTACCTTGCTGGTTGTAATATGGCCCTACGAAATAAACCGGCCTTCCAGTTTGCCATTAAGGCCACAACGGGAGGAGGGGGAGGAAGAGGAGGAGAGGGGGTGTGAGACAACATGTACTCCCGGTCACACAGTTACTTTGGGTCGCCCGCATCCTCTCTTTTCTTTAAAATTTATTTTGCTATTATTTGTTTATTTTTCAATTGGCAAAGGCATAATGATGCAGGGGGAAAAGACACTTAAAGATCCTGCTCCAACCACCGGCCGAGGGAGTTGGGTTAAATTAATCCAGCGCCCTTGGGCACTGGAGGAGGGGGCTGTCCCCCCACCCCCGGCTGCCACCCCGCCGGGGCCTCGGGGAGCGGGGTCTCCCTGCCGCTCCTCTTCCCTCTGCAGCAGGGAGCCTTGGAAACGGGAGCCTGGAAATGCTTCCCACTCACTAAGACACAAGGATCATTTCAAATATTCATTGTATCAGCAAATCTCATCGTAATCAGATTAAAGCAAGGTTTGGGGGGGAACTGCGTGTGTTTCTGGGTGTAAAATGCCGACTGGACTACAAAGAGAACAGAAAATGGGTTCCTCTCCCCCCGCCTTGGTTGCATGGGGAGAAAAAAGAAAAGCAGTAATTTTTGCAAAAAAGGGACACTTTAAAAAACTGTGATTCTCCCCGTTCCACCCTGGGTAGCATATTCCTCAGAGGTTGTTTTCCTTTTAACTTTACGCTTAGCATTTCTATATGATGCTCTTATTTACTTGTTTTAAACTACAGAGACTATTCCCGCTGTGGAATACACTGAGGTAGATTTTCTTCACGCCAATTTGCTTTTAGCTTATCTCAGCCGAGGGAACAGCTTTTCTACATTCAAGCTTTAAAATGTGTATTTCATTGAGTTGTCTGGGGTGAGATGTTTATATCCATTTTGTGAAAGTGAGTGAGGATCTGAGTATATTTTCAGGTCTGCTCGATAGATGCAAGCCCTTTTCCTTTTGAAAGTTTAGACCTCCAATACCCTCAATTCTACTGGCAGAATTAGGATGGACTTGGAGGGTCCTAAACGTGACCATTCACTAAGGCGGGGGGCTTGCAACAACGTGCTCGACAACTTAATCTTACACTAAAAAGAGCAGAGTGTAAAAGAATGGAATACAAACTCTCCCGACATTTGTAGTCACTTCCAAAGTGGACCGTGCATTTTAAAGCTGATGGGAACGTGTGTGTTTTGGAGCAAAAAGGAGAGAAGGTAAGTGTTTATCCCTTGTATCCGCCAGTTCGGGTAGAAACAATGAAAGAACAAAGGGAACCACTTCTCCGTGTGAACATTTCCCATTTTCCTCCTCCGTTTGAGCTTCACCGCGAGAGGCTGGCGAGGGGCTCGCTCCAGCTTTACCTTTGGCGGCGGGTCGGGGGTGCGGGGCCCGGGGAGAAAGTTGCGGGGCTGTTCAAGTCACCCCCCGTTGGTCGCCGGAGCCCGCCGCGAGCAGGAGCTGCAGATTCCATGGCTCTGGACTCACCGGACAGTCCCCGCGAGCCGCGGCCGGCGGGAGAGGGATCGGGGCCGGGACCTTTGTGTGCGGGCTCTGCCCGGCCCCGGGCTGCCGGCGACGACGGAGCTCCCCGGTGACTGCCGAGGCGGTGGGAGAGGAAGCAGAGGTTAGGAGCCGGGGTAGGAGGGGGTGCGGAGGGAGAAAAACCCCCCGGAATTATTTGCAAATCCCATAAATCGCGTGTAAGAGCGGTGGGGGAGGGGCAGGGGGCGAACAAACACCGCGCGCGCTGGGCCTCGCGCGGACCGTTACAAGGGGCGGCGGCGGCCCGGGCCACAGAAACACGCACGGACAGGCACACGGGCACACGCGGGCAGACACGCTCCGTGTTTACAGCCGCGGAGAGCGGCGCGCCCCCGACTCGCCGTGCGGGACAGGCCCGGCCCGCCCGCCATTGGCGCGGGGGCTCTCGGCCGCTGACC